ACACGCGTGCGCGTGTGCATGCACGCGCGCACACACACACAATAACCCACATTAAAGAGTATTTTTTACCCAACTGGCAAAGCAAGGTGGTGCTGTGAAGGCAAGGTAGTGCTGAACTTTTTCTTAAAGCAAGGTCAGAGCTGACCAGACCACAGAGCACTCACCATCTCTGAGTCCTCCCCGTGCCCCCAACTTGAGGTTCCCCTTGGCTTGGCTCAACGCCACTCATTTCCACCCAAGATTTGCAGGATGCCTCACTACGGCCATATGGACCAAGATGATAAGTCATCTGTTATCCAGAATTCCTTTCTCGACCTTTCCACATTCAGTCACCTTTAGCACACTTAACAGGCACTCCTCCGCAGAGCGTGAGCCTGTGTGACATACGGAGTTTAAAGCTGAACACAGGAACTAGGCATTCCTTACACGCCACACTTTGCCAAATGGATTTATTCCAGAGCTTTAAAGAAAAAAATCGCAACTGAAAAAGTGACCAGATGGGTTTTCAAGGAGAAAAATACAAACTAAGTCATTTTTGAGAGGCTGACGCACTTTACTAAAAACAGGCCTATGATGTCAAAGAACTTCAGTTATTCAACCCTGAGAGGAAAAATCATGGCAAAAAAAGCAAGCATTGAAAAGATACATAAAACATTCCTTAACTGAAACAGACTCTTCAACTCTACATGGCTAAATATTTTTAAAGCTATTTTTAAACTTAACACTTCAAATAGTCACTCCCCCTAAGAATTCAGGACCTACAACAACAGCCACGGCAAATAATAATGACAAAAATCTCATACTTATATGGCACCTACTATATAAGCATTCTTCTAAGCACTTTACATATGTTCACTGCACCCTTACAAATTCTTTTCTAACTCATTTTTCATGAGCAATGAGATGCAGAGTAAGGTAACTGCCAAGGTCACGCACACTGCCAGTAAGTGGCAGGGCTGGGATTCAAAACAGGCAGTCCAGCTGCAGAACCCATGCTCTCAATTATTACCGTGTTTCCCCAAAAATAAAACAGGGTCTTATATTTATTTTTCCTCAAGAAGACACCCTAGGGCTTATTTTCGGGGGATACGTTATTTTTTTTAAGTACGGTACAACAATCTACATTTATTCAAATATAGTTAAGTCGTCTTCTTCTGGAAGATCATCATAACTCTCCAAACCCTGAATTCCATCCAGAATTTCTTGGGACTCTATTTCCTTAAGAACCATTGGCCCCAATCTCTCATGCCGAGCAACAGAGCTCTCATGGGGCAGATGAGAAGGGCTGCTCGACTTCTTTACCACTCTGTGATGAAATGCATGGGTTGTGCAGATATGCTGCTTAGCAACGCCCAACACTAGGTCTTATTTTTGGGGTAGGGCTTATATTGCGCAAATGCTTAGAAATCCTGCTTATTTTATGGGTAGGTCTTATTTTCAAGGAAACATGGTACACTCATCTTCTTTCCAAAGGAGTTTAACATAGATAAATATTTTTAAACACAGATTTTTAAGTTCACTAAAACCATACAAGTTCATTGGGTGGGCAGGGTGGCTCATGCCCATAATTGTTGCATTTTGGGAGGCAAAGGCAGAGAGGATCCTTTGAGGCCAGGAGTTCAAGACCAGCCTGAGCAACGTAACAAGACCACATCTCTACAAAAAATAGAAAAAATTAGCTGGGCATGATGGTGTGTGCCTGTAGTCCCAGCTACTCAGGAGGCTAAGGTAGGAGGACAACTTGAGCCCAGGTGTTTGAGGTTGCAGTGAGTTATGATGATGCTACTGTTCTCCAGCCTGGACAACAGAGTGGGGGAAAAAAACCGAAAAACCAACAACCACCAAAAAAAACCCGACTAAGACAGAAAATTGGTACCGAGACATGAAGCTGTTGCCATAACTAATACCTGAAAACATGGAAGTGGTTTTAGCACTGGGTAATGAGTAGACGCTGGAAGAATTTGGAGGAGGCAGCTATAAAAAGCCTAGACTGTCGTCAGTGGTGCCTATTAAGAGCAACTCTGGTAAGGCTCAGAAGAAGAGGCAAGCTGTGGGAAAAGTATGAATCTTCTTAGAGGTTACTTTAGTGTTCATGACCAGAATGTTGGTAACAATATGGACAGTAAAGGCCATTCTGATAAGGTCTCAGATGGAAATGAGGAACAAGCCTATTGGAAACTAGAATAAAGGCCATCGTTGTTATATAGTTACAAAGACCTTGATAGAATTATATCCCTGTCCTAGGGCTTTATGGAATGCAGAACTTAAGAGAGATGAACTAGGATATCCAGTAGAAGAAATATCTAAGCAGCAAAGCATTCAGGCTGCTGTGTTGGTTACTCTTAACCACATACAGTGAGATGCAAGAGCATGGATGATTTAAAGACAGAATTTATAATTAAAAGAGATGCAGATCAGGAAAGTTTGGAAAAACTTGCAGCATGGCCATGTAAAAAATGAAAATACATGTAAGGGAGAGAATACTAAGAGCCTATCAACCCTTTGCTAAAGAGATTACCATGGCTAGAAAGAAGCCAGGTGCTATTAATCAGGACAATAGGAGAAATACTCTAAAGCCATTCACAGATCGTTGAGGCTATCCCTCTCATCACAGACCCAGAGCTCTAAGAGGGCAGAATGATTTCAGGGAGACAGACCTGGAGCCACCTTGGGACTCTACTCTAGCAATGTGCACTCCTTGGCTACCCCAACCTTGGCTTAAGTGGGCCCTGTTGCAGTTTAACCTACCACTTCAAAAGATAAAAGCTGTTCACCTTGGTCGCATCCATATGTTATTAAGTCTGCAGGCTCACGGAATGCAAGAGCTGTGGGGACATAGCTTACTCTACCCAAATTTCAAAGGATGTCACAGACCATATGTGGGCCCAGGCAGAGACTTGTTGCAGGGTGGAGCCACCACTGAGAACCCCCATTAGGGAAATACACAGCAGAACTGAGGAGTCAGGGCTGCTACAAAGAGTCCCCACTAAGGCCATGCTTAGTGGAACCCTGAGCATAGAGCCGCCGCCAAGAACCTAGAACTATAGGACCACAAGCATGCAACTCCAACCCATGAGAGCTGCTGAGCAGACCGAGCCCAGCATAGCCATGGGGTGGGGCTGCCAGAGGATAAATCATGCCTTGAATCTCACCATCTCTAATTCAGATGAGACTTTGGACTTTTGAGTTAATGCTGGACTAAGACTTTTAGGGCTATTGAGACAGAATGAATGCATTTTGTATTCATGACTTTTGGGGAACCAGAAATGGAATGCCATGGTTTAAATGCCTCCCCACCCAAAAATCATGTTGAAATTTAATTGCCAATGTAATGATATTGGGTGTAGTGCCTTTAAGAGCTCATTAGGTCTTAAGGGCTCTGCCCTCATGAATGAATTAATGCCGTTATCACAGGACTGGGTTAGTTATCACTGGAGTGGGATCCTGATAAAAGGAACCCACATTTACTCATTTCCTTTCGCACATGTGCACTTCTTCCCCATGTGACGCCTTCTCATGTGACGTGGCAAGAAGACCCTCACCAGACACTGGCGCCACGCTCTTGGACCTCCCAGCCACCAAAACCATGAGAAATAAATTTCTTTTCTTTATAAATTACCCAGTCTGAGGCACTCTGTTATAGCAGCAGAAAAGAAACTAAGAGAGGGGGATAACTTTTGTGGGCTGAATGTAGAGTCTGGAGAAATTAGCATGCCTAGGGAAGTGTAGGGAGGGTGATGAAAGCCAAGAAACTCAGTAAGTCTGGAATGCAATGAAAGAAAACCTCAGGGCTGTAGTACCTAACATCAGTCACAGTGCCCATCATTCATGAATGGTGCCTCTTTTCCAACCCACTGCTTTGGCTCAGATTCAGGCCTTTGACATCCCTTAGTCCAGTTATTCTAATGATCCCTTACTTGGTTTACAGGCACCACCCTCCTCCCTGACCCAGCACCTAATCTCTCCTATGTTGCAAGAAGAGTTTTTCTGAAAGATAAATCTGACCATGTTATGCCCCTACTTAACTCTTTGGTGAGCCCTACAGCCTACAATTTCGGTTCTGTCACCTTTGTACAGAATCAGAGGCTATCCACCCCAGGATTTCCCCAGCCAACCTCTACTCACAAGCTCAGAAAAATACTAGGCTAAGGCATTTCACTCTTACCCTGTTCGAGTTGCCCTCTGCTGAAAAAAGTCCACCTTCCCAACCCCCATGCATCCCCACCCAACATCTATGTGTTCTTCATTCTGCACAAAGTTGTTCCAACCCCTCCCCCCACCAATAGAATAGATAATTTTCTCCTTTATGTCCTCAGGGTACCACATACATATGATTCTTGTATAGTGTCAGTAACTAATTTTTTGCACTTCTTTACACAACTGTCTCCCCTACTGGGATATAAGCCCCTTAAGAGCAGGCACAATATCTTCCTATTTGCCAATAATGCTAAAATAAACATCCTTGTATCTTTAGCTAGAAATCAGGAATGGACTTGCTGGATCGAAAAGTATATATATTGCTAAACTGCTCTCCAAAGAATGCCCATTTTATATTCTCAACAATACTTGTTTCTTATATACGCAAAGGATTTTCAGATATTCTATCCCTGTTAATCTCACAGGTGAAATATAATGACTCATAGTTTTATTTTGTGTGGCCTGTGGTGAATGAAAGAATCTCTGATTGAAGATGAGCTACACTTAAGATGACTTATTTATGTAAACAAAAGCCACCATCAAAACTGAAACAATAAGGAGAATTCAGTGAAAGTTTGCTTCAAGTCAGCAGTTCTCATGATGATAGTCTAGAGACAGAAGAATTAAAATGCTTTGCCACAGTGGGTTTCTATCATGTTGCCACAATAGAAATAGCAAATCAAATAAGTGACAGAAATTTAGAAAGGGGTGCATTTTTTAATTGGCAAGAAATTAAGAGAGGGTGCAAGGTGACTATGGCCAGCTATTCCCAGAAATCCAATGTACCAAAAGTTCCAACTCACCATCTAGTAGCCAGGGCTGGCTGCGCCTATTCTCCAACTCTGACATCATGAGGCGTGTGATCACATGATCTGGAACCAAAAGACCTTTCTCTATGTACTGTTTTGCCATGTCACCAACTTCTGTTAAAAAAAAAAAAAAAACAAGAAAAAGAGAAACACTCAAGAAGGCTTCCAAAAAAAAACCCTTATAAACTCTTTTCTGACAGTTTTGCCTTCTTTCTCATCCTTCCTAACATCAGACAAAATTGTGGTTAGTTGTAGATATATATTTTTAGTTTTTAATATATTGGTTTCAATAAGGGTAGCACTGTTGCTTATTTAACCCATTTGTCTTCCAAAGAATTATAAAAGCAGCTCTTGACATACAGTCAAAGGAAGGAAGGAAGAAAGAAGAGAAAGAGGGGAAAATACATAAATTGGGCAAGAGAAAATAAGAGTAGACAATACAGTTGAAGCCAAGAGGGAGGACAGTACACAGAAGGTTGAGAAAGAAGTCCTGTATATTTCCAAGAGGTGAGCCACAAATTCAGCACTGGACTTCTCAACAGTTTATGGTAACATGGAAATGTGATCAACCACTTGGCGTATAGAGACTAGAAAAAAGTTCCACTGATCATCAAAAAAGAATGCTGCATAATACAAATAGCCAGTTTATTTCATGAGCCTCAGTATAAGCAGATGGCACCTTGCTGACAGAGCTGTAAAAACAACTCAGCATTATTAGTGCAATACCAGGTTCCTAAAAGACTGAATTTTAAAAAAATAATTTCAGAGTAAAACCACTTCTATCTTAATTTGAAATAGCAATTTCTCATATGTAGCATTTTGGGGGGGAGGTTCAGGAGACAGGGTATGGCTCTGTCACCCAGGGCTAGAGTATAGTAGCATCATCACAGCTCACTGCAACCTCAAATTCCTGAGCTCAAGCAACCCTCCTGCCTCAGCCTCCTGCATACCTGGGACTACAGGCTCGCACCACAATGCCTGGCTAATTTTTCTATTTTTTGTAGAGATGGGGTCTTGCTCTTGCTCAGGCTGGTCAAATCCCAGCAATCCTGAACTCAAGCAATCCTCCTATCTCAGCCTCCCAGAGCGCTAGGATTGCAGGTGTGAACCGTTGCACCCAGCCTCATGTGTAGAAATCTGAGTTGGGTTCAGCAGAACAAATTATCAGTTTAAGTCTACACATTTTTAATAACTAAATTTTTTTTCAGGGAACTGATAATGAACTATTAACAACCACATTCATGACGGACCACTTGAGTTCTTATACAAACACAAAGCACAATTATATTACTGGGAAAAAAGCTCAAGAATCATTTGACCTCACTTTCACCTTGAATTTAGGTAGAGCCTTTGCTTCCTCAGACTGAGTTTATACCCCTAACCCCAACTTAAGCCCTGAAATATGGGCTGTGAAGAGCTCCACATCACTTGATTACTACCACCTGACATGCAGCTCAAAACACAGGTCCAAGTCTATGTAAATACAATAACATACTGCAAGAAACACAACACAAAAGACAGCCACATTCATTCAACAACTATTTACTGATTGCATACTATGTAACAGGTAATATTCTAGAGAGGCAGCAGTGAATAAAATAGAAGTTCCAGCTTACTATTTAAGCAGTATTACTTTCATTAAGAGTAACAATAACAACCATTAAGCTGAGTACCTACTCAATCCCAGGCACCGAGCTTTAAGTACTTTATATGCATTATTTCATTTAATATTCATAAGAATATGAATTCTTATGACAGAAGGTCACCTTCAGACAGAAGGTAATACCAGTATTTGTTTATGACAGCTTGATTGAGATAATTCACATACCATAACATTTGCTGTTCTAAAATGTACAACTCAGAGGCTTTTAAGCATATTCTCAATGTTGTGAAACCATCACCACTCCCTAATTTCAGAACACTTTCATCATCCGGGAAAAAAAGCCTGTACCCATCAGCAGTCACTCCCTGTTCTCCCCTGCCTCCAGCCTGTGGCAACTACTCATCTACTTTTGGTTTCTATAGATTTGCCTATTCTGGATATGTCTTATAAATGGGATCATAAAACATGTGGTCTTTCGTGTCTGGCTTCTTTCACTTAACATGTTTTCAAGGCTCATTCATGTTGAATGAACCACATATTAATGTGTCATTCCTTTCTATGGCTGAATAATATTCCACTGTCTGGCTATACCACATTTTGTTCATATATACATTAGTTAATGGACATTTTGGGTTGTTTCTACTTTTCCACTATTATGAACAACACTGCAGTGAATATTCATGTACAAGTGTTTGCATGAACATATGCTTTCAGTACTCTTGGGTAATGAGAACTGTATAGCATCCACGTTATATGTCTAAACCGATCACTATCAGAAAAGATGAGGGAGTGACAGACAAGCTGGGTGCTGTCTTACTCTGCAATGGTTAGGCTAGGCCTTGAGCCCTGTTCTTAGTCCCACCTGCCAAACTTCAAGATAGATATAAACTAATATATATCTTCCAAGGTGAGAAACCAAGATGTGTACTTTGCATTATTTACTATAAATCCAGATCTTAATATTATACACTGATATACTTATTCATTCACTTTTTGCCCCTCCCCACTATTATTTCAATGAAAAATGAAACTATTTTATTCAATGCCATATCCTCAGCGCTTAGAATATAGTCTGGCATGTGTTAGATGCCCCAGAAAAATGTGTTGCCAGAATAAACACCCTAAAAATGATAAACAATTTCCTTCCTCCTTCCCTCCCTCCCTCCCTCCCTCCCTCCCTCTATTTCTCTCCCTTCCTCCCTCTCCCTCCCTCTCCCCTCTTCCCCTCCCTTCTCTCTCCCTCTCTCTCTCTCTCAATGGGGTCTTGGTTTGTGCCCAGCCTGGAGGCAGTAGTGTGATCAAACTCCCAGCTCAAGTGATCCTCCTACCTCAGCTCCCCAAGTAGCTGGGACTATAGGCACATGGCACCACCCCCCAGCTAATTTTTTTCAATTTCATTTTTTTTTTAAAGAGATGGAGTCTTAATGTGTTGTCGAGGCTGGTCTCCAACTCCTGGCCTCAAGCAATCCACCAGCCTCAGCCTCCCGAGTAGCTGGGTTTACAGGTGTGAGCCATGACACTTGTCAAGAATTTTCTTTTACCCTGGCAAAAATCAAGATGATATTCCTGGAGAGTTATTACAAAACCATTATTGTAAGACTAAATATGGCCCAACCTTGCCAGATAACAACTTTTTCAAAGGAGGTATGAGACAAACAAAGTATGATCAGGACTAGTTGAGATGGCTATGTTAGGTTTCACAGCCTAGTCTTATTTCTTCAGCATTTCAAAGCATGAAAAGAGATGAACCAGTGTGAGTACAGGAAATAACAAGGAAATACCAAGACCAAATGTGGCAGGGCAAGGAGACACGTGGTTGGTATACCTCAAAGAACTTCAAGTGGTGGCAGCTGAAGAAAAGCACACCATGGAGAGATGGTGCTGGGTAGTCGAGATAAGGAGTATGGACTTTGAAGGATTTTTTTTAATACATAGATTTAGAAATGCCACTCCCAAAGCCAAGACCAGCTATTTAAATTATGGAGACTAGTAGTGCAAATTCAAAATGTGGAGCTCCTTGTTGGAAAATTAAGAATTGCAATATGGCAACAGCAGAGCACTAAAATAAGTGCAGAGCCTATGTGACTACACAGGTCACATGCCCACAGCAATGTGACATTTGAGTGTGGGTAGCATGGTAGAAGCAAAGGAGGCTGTGACAATAATCCAAGTACAAGATGAAAGCCTGAACGAACTAAAGCAGAAGCAATGGAGGAAGACCTTCATCTGCCCCTTGAGAGAGTGCCTTGAGTTAATCCAACACAGGCTGTGCAACCCGAAGTTTAAAATAACTCTGTGGAAGATGTCCAGAGCCATCTTATTCCAATTTACTAATTAAGAGAAACCTCTAAGTGCAGCATACTTTTCCAGCTATTTCTGGCCGCTTTGGCTCCTCTCTGGAGCAGGACAGGCGACATGTCCTCTAACCTGATACAAGATCAAACTTCTACCACATCTCTCAATCTCCACCACAAAAACCCAGAAAGACCCACAGCAAAAACAAAATGAACTTAACGTATCTGCCTCTGAATAAAGACCTCATCACACTAGCAAACTAAAATAAAACATCTTATCAGAAGACAGAGGCCCATTCCAGAAGACTGGACCTTCATATGCCCTTGTCAGTTAGCTTGGAAGAGAAACCAGTATCACTAAATGCTGATGCTAGCATGTTTGGATAAAATACATACCCTACTCTAATTTCTCAGGTAGTATTCCAAAGAAAGGCCGTGGACACACATACATGGTCTTACACAGCTTTTGCACCCTTAGCATGCCAAAAATAGGCTAAAAGCTTTGCATTCTTTTTTAAACTTTACAACAAAACCAAGAAATAATTCCATCATGTATTTATGAGATTAAACCAAACGCCAATGATTAAGGTCACATATAGGAAAACTTTCTTCAGAAAGGGAAAGATTAAGAGTCAAATTACAGGCCGGGCGCGGTGGCTCACGCCTGTAATCCTAGCACTCTGGGAGGCCGAGGCGGGCGGATTGCTCAAGGTCAGGAGTTCAAAACCAGCCTGAGCGAGACCCCGTCTCTACCATAAAAAAAAAATAGAAAGAAATTAATTGGCCAACTAATATATATAATATAAAATCAGCCGGGCATGGTGGCTCGTGCCTGTAGTCCCAGCTACTCGGGAGGCTGAGGCAGGAGGATTGCTTGAGCCCAGGAGTTTGAGGTTGCTGTGAGCTAGGCTGACGCCATGGCACTCACTCTAGCCTAGGCAAGAAAGCGAGACTCTCAAACAAACAAAAAAAAAAGAGTCAAATTACAAAACAGTATATATTACAAAATTATATGTGTGTATGTGTGTATATTTATATATACACACACACAGATATATGGAATCATCACCATGTTAAACATATTAAAAGACAGTCAATATTCCACTTATTTTACAACAATATAAATTTTGTGGCAACTTATCTTAATAGCCTATGCCAGTCAATCACTACTAAACATAAATTCAAATGGATATAATCTTGGTAACCTTGAGAAATAA